ACAGAATAAATTCCAGTTGATCACAGTGTATGATATGTTCAAGGGGTTATTGGATATTACTTCCTTAATAAGGATGTTTGTATGTAGATTCATCAAAACATTAGCGAGTAAATTTCTTTTCTTATTATGTTCCAATATCCAATCTTGGTAGCAATATAATGCTGACCTCATAAAATGAGTTCGAAAGTGTGATCTCCTATTCTAATCTTTCTTTAATGGATTTGAGAGCTGTCATTGTCTCAAGGCCTCCTGGAATTTCTTTTTTTGGAAGGTCTCTGATAACTGATACAAACTCTATATCACTTATTAGTGTTCAAACTGTGCATTTCTTTTTATGGTTTCCACTTGGCAGGTTGTTTGTTTCTGGGCGTTTATCAGTGTTTTTAGGTTATCCAGTTAGGTGGTGTGATAGCTAATCTTGATTGAACTTGATTGGATTGAAAGCTATTTAGGAGATTAGTAAAATATGACTCTGGGTCTATCTGTAACTGGTTTCCAGAGAGGATTAGATCTGGAGGGCTTAGACCCATCCACTGCCAGATTCAAAACTTGAACAGATTCTAAGGAGGTGGTGGAATTGAGCAAGGCAGGGCCTGGAGGTCACTGACTGAATCATGGTATAGAAGGGCTTATCTTACCCTGGCCCTTTTTCTGTCTTCTGTTTCCTGGGGTCCATGAGAAGCTGCTGCTTCTACTATATTTTCATACCACCATGATGTTCTGTCTCACAATTGGCCCAAAAATACAGAACTAATATACCATAAACTCAAACCTCTGGAACCATGAGCTAACATAAATCTTTTCTCCCCTTAAGTTGTGTATATAAGGTATTTTGTCATAGTGACAGAGACTGACCAACAACGTTATTCTATAATTATTCACAGTAGTCTCTTCTGGTCCTTTTTATTTCTGTGGCATCAGTTGAAATACCTCTTCTTTAACTTGTGATTTGAGGGGTTACTTTTGAGCTCCTAACTCTGCCCCATTTCTTTCTCTACACACTAACATCTCCTCTATGATTTGCCCCATGCTGTCACCATTCACATCTATTCATACTATCTTTTAAAATATTTTTCATTATTGTTATTGTAATACTTTTGTCTTTTCTCTCTGATGCTAGGATTTTAAAATGTTTACCAACCACAGTTACAGAAATAGATTATTTTATGGTTGAGTATATATTTACCTCTATCAGCTAGTAAGTTCTTTGTGCTACTATGTCGCTGTTTAACACCCTTGTATTTCTACTTAGCACTTTCTGTAAAGCCAACATAATGGCCATGGATTCCTTCTACTTTCAATCATCTGGTAAGGTCTTTATCTCTCTTTTATTTATGAAGGGGGGATTTCAGCCAGGCATAATTTTCTTGGTCAGCAATGTTCTTTTTTTTTTCTTTCTTTTTTCGGCATTTTTTCCTTCTTTTTCCAGCAGGCCACTCCTGCTGGCCTGCATATTTTCTGTCGAAAGATCTACTGAAAGATCTCATGAGGAGTCTGTTGTTTGTAAAAAGGCACTTTTTTCCTTTTGCTTTCAAAATTCCCACTTTCATTTGGCTTTTTAGAATTTGATGCTAGTGTGTCTTGAGGTAAAAGTCATCAAACTTGGTCATATTTGGGTTTATTATATCTGGATGTCTATTTCCTTCACAAGATTTGAAAAGCTTCATCATCTATCTATCCTTTATCTATCATCTGCTGATCATCTATCTATCTGAAAAATGCTTTGAAGCTGGTCCACATTCTCACCCTTTCCCTTCAAGAATTCTCCTAATGTACATACTTCTGCCTGGATGATTTTTCATAATTCCCTTAAGCTTGTTTTCCTTCTTTTCTATTCTTTTTTCTTTTTCACTCCTTTGACTAAATTCTTTCCCGAGACTTCTCTTCCAGTTCATTGATCTTTTATTCTGCTTGATTCTTTATTAACATCCAATGCATTGTTCTGTTTTTTAATCTTCAGCTTCATGATTTTTTGTCACACTTTTATAAGCTGCTTTGTTGAAGTTTTCCTTTTGCTTATGTATTACTATAATTATTATTATTTTGACTTTGGTGAGCAGTTTTATGAGTTATTTTTGTTATTGCGGTTTCTAGGGATGCATCTTGTTCCTTTGCTTGGAATATCTTCGGCTCTTCACTTTCTTTTACCCTTTGTGTTGGTAACTACATATAAGACAAAGCAGGCACCTCACTCTGATTTTAGAAACCAGCCTGACACAGAAAAGGAGCCCCACTGATATCACTCCAGCCAGAGATTTTTAACAACTCATTCTCTTCCCATAAAAAAACAGGCCACTGTGGATTGGTCTGTTCGCTCAGTGTGGCATGTGGGGCTGGTGTTTCCTAGCACAGGTCTCATCCCCCTCTCCCCTATATAGCCAGACTGAACCAGACATCTCAGAAATCAAGGGCAAGAAAGACAGATGCTCCCTCTTTGAAAAACCTCAGAGAGACCAGAGAACCAATCTCACAAACTGACTCTTTCCCTCTTGGGGGAAGTTGAACAGCTGAGAGTCTTTTCTTCTTCTTCTTCTTCTTATTGCTATTGCTAAATTGGGAAGGGGAGTTGTCATAATGTTGACCAGCTCAAGCTGCCATAAGGAACTCTGACTGTCTTTTATAGTCTTGCTCTGTTTTGTTATACTAGTACCAGGGCTTGAATTCAGAGCCTTATATTCTTGCTCAGCTTTCTTGCTCATGCGTGGTACTCTACCGCTTGAGCCATGCCTCTAATCTTCTTGCTGGATCATTAGAGCTGAAGTCTCACAGACTTTCCTACTGGGGCTGGTTCTGAACAGCAAGTCTCCAGGTCTCAGCCTCCTGAGTAGCTAGGATTACAGGTATGAGCCACAGGTGCCTAGCTGGACATTTGATGCTGTTCCTATAGTGTATAGAGACTCTGGATCCCTCAGGGAACTCCTTGAATCATACTGGTGGTCTTCTCTTCTGCAGTGGCTCCTTTGACCACTTCATATCCTTAGAAGAGACAGTGGGTGAAATACAGGAAGTCAAAGCAAATGAGAGTGTCAGCTACTCCTAGTTCTGGTCCCAGCCCTGCAACTCATTGGCCAGGGAGTCCTTTCACACATGCTTCACTCAGAATCTAAAATTTCCTACCTATAACATGGAGTGATAATGTCAACAGTTCTGTGTTCATTCCAAACAGAACCAAGATTTGGCAGTAAAGTTCTCCATATTTGGGGTTATCCTGGGCCTGAATGGTGGTTCTTTGCTATTTTCCAAACACCTGAGCCTTGACCCTATGCTACTTCAGCATCCTTCTTTGCAGAAGGAGGTCAACGCCCGTCCTTAATGATCAGCAGGACAGCAGGGAGTAAATGGGCTCCTGTGTTAGCTCAAAGCAGCAGCTGGTGAGCTCCTGACCAGGCAGAAACTAGACAGGCTGGCTCAGCACACAGAACGGAACCACTCTACCCTGACAATCCATCAGCCTCAAAGCATTTCTTATGAACAAGTACTGGCTCACAAGGACCTGCCTGTCATATCTGACATAAGACAGGGCTTTCTTTAGTCTTTTATATCTCAAGGTACCCAAGAGCAGGGAGGCCTGATACCCAACACCCAGAAAAACCAGCGAAGAGCAGCTCATGGGACAGTGCACCAGGTACCCATACACAACTTCCTATCAAAGTCATATTCATGCAAAGTGTCAATCTGAACAAGTGGCACTGACTGTTCTAAATATCTTTTTTGGGGGGTGGGGGGGTTCGGTTGTGGGGCCTGAACTCTGGGCCCAGGTGCTGTCCCTCGGCTCTTCAGCTCAAGGTTAGCACTCTACCACTTGAGCCACAGCGCCACTTCCAGCTTTTTTCTTTTTGCTTATGTGGTGCTGAGGAATCGAACCCAGGGCCTCAGGCATGCAAGACAAGCACTCTACCACTAAGCTACCTTCTCAGCCCCTAAATATCTTATACTTCAACACAAAGCATCTTTTTTTTTTTTTTTGGTCAGTCGTGGGGCCTTAACTCTATGCCTGGGCACTGTCCCTCAGCTCTTCAGCTCAAGGCTAGCACTCTACCACTTAAGCCACAGAGCCACTTCCAGCTTTTTCTGCTTATGTGGTGCTGAGGAATCAAACCCAGGACCTCATCCATGCAAGGCAAGCACTCTATCACTGAGCCACCTTCCCATCCCCAAGGCACCTTGTTTATTTATTTATTTATTTTGTCAGTCATGGGGCTTGAACTCAGGGTCTGGGCACTGTCCCTGAGCAAGCACTCTACCATTTTGAGCCACAATTCCACTTCTGGTTTTCTGGTGGTTAACTGAAGATAAGAGTCTCACAGACTTTTCTGCCTGGGCTGGCTTTGAACCACAAACCTCAAATCTCAGCCTCCTAAGTAGCTAGGATTACAGGTGTGAGCCACCAGCACCTGGTTCAACACAAAGCATTTTAAAAAGCAATGTACAGTGTAATAAGACAAACAGATTCTCTAGAAACAGACAAGTAAACCTCAGAGCTACAGCAAATTAGCTCACACTGAGACTGTCCTTGCTTATAAAATGGGAACAACAGATGAAAAGAAGAGGAAGAGGAAGAGGCCCATCCCATACCTGAGCAGAAACTGTAATGTCCAGCAAACATCCAGAACTGAGCAAAGCTCCAGCCTAATGTGTCACTCCTCAAACTCAGTTTTAACAACAGAGTTTGGACTCTCTAGTCCACACTAAAGTATGAGCACATTGAAGGAAGAAATGAGAATGAGAAGTGTGACATGTGTCACCATGGTCCCCTCCATGGGGACCCAGCTTCCCTTCAGGGCAGCTGCTCACCTAGGCTTTCTGACCATACCTCTCCTCTTTGTACTACTTGATCTTCCAAACTTCTTTCCCATGCTTCCCCCACCACCCACCTTCCCTATTCTCTCTCTGCATCTTCTGTCCTCTCTCTGCCTCCTCTAATCCCTCCCCACCACCATCAACACCTCTACAGCACAGCCACACAGCCCAACCCTGGTCCAGTGAGCACCCAGCCTTACCTGACATTGTCATGCCTCTGGATGTAAATCTTGTGGAAAATCCTCTCCGGAGGTTTGAGGAAGTCTTCCTTCATCTCCATGGCAACATTCCTGGGCAGAAGGCTCATAAGCAGCCGTTCCTGGACGGAAGAGAAGGCTCCCATCAGACAGCAGGGCCTCCCTGTTCCTCCTTGGGGAGGCCTGACCAACGAAGGGAGAGTGAGGACTTCCTCTCTGCGAGGTGCTGTACACCCTCATCAGGTACAGCCACCACATGCATCCAGGCCCCCAGAGCCTCGGTGTGCCACATGCAGCCTGGGACTGCCACTGAGCACCCTGGGAGTTTGCCAAGCACCTGGTCTCCAGAGCACGTGCAGGCAATCCCTGCAGGCTCCTGTTCAGGTCAGGATGCCAGGTCATGACATGCTTCAGTGTGCAGCAAGATCACAGCTCAGCCATTGCCTCCAGGCAGGGCCCTTGGCTGGCTCCTCAACTTGCTCCTCACATGCCCTGGAAAAGAATCTTCTAGAACGCCCCCCCACGGAAGTCACTGTCCTCCCAGGGCCACAGAGGCGCTTCCATCCTACTCTGAGACAGAGCCTTGTTCTCTTGGTCTTTAGCTTCTTACTTCTCCCTGATCTGAGGAAAAGATAAATGACTGTGTTTTTCAAGGAGAGTTGTGCCACCACAAAAAGTCCCTACCCCTTTCGAGGTCCCAATTTTACCCATCTGTGCTGCGGGAGAACTCGCCTCAATGCCGGCTGGTCTCTGACTTGCAGAGGCAACCCTGTGCTACAGAAACCCCATGATGCAACCTCCATGTGAGGGCTCGTGCACATGGAAGGCTGGGCTGCGGCACAGGCACTGCAAGGAGCAGCTGAGACAGCTGCCCCCTGCTCTACCGCTAGAACCTTCATTAGAGTTCCAGAATAAAGACCATGTTTCCCAGCCTCCCACACAGCTGAGCCTAAGTCCAAGGTCATGGGGAAATGCTACAGGTGAATCTTAAGTGACACCCACAGCAAGGCCAGGGGTTAAAGGTGAAGTCCCTAGCACAGAGCTATTGGGAGGCGCTGGGACCTTGGAGTGGTGTGGGCTTCCAGCTGGGCTTGGACTACTGGAGGTGCGACATCGCAGCATGGTAGGCCCCCAGCCCATTCCTCCTCCGCCTCATGAGGTGAGCGATTCTGCTCTACCATGCTCCCGCCATGGTATACTGCCTCACTGCATGCCCAAAGCCATGGGGCCACTGATTGTGGACTGGAGCTTCCTAATGGTGAGCCCTTTATAAGCTGAGTCAGGTACTTCAGAATAGAGGCAGAAAGCAGCAGGTGCCTGCCTGGGAGTGTGTGTGTGTGTGTGTGTGTGTGTGTGTGTGTGTGTACATGGGAGGGGAAGAGGGTGGTATGTGTGTGCACATGTGTATGTGGGCATTCTGTGTAAGTAGAGGGTGTGGATATGTATGTGTACAGGTGTATGTATATGTGCATATGGCTGTATGTGCTACACTTGTGAAAGCTACTGGCATGTAAATTTTCAGAAACAGACTTTACATCCAACTAAAAACTGGGCATTAGCTCCTCCACTGCATGAGCAATGGCACCTAAAACCAGTGCCTGTCAATAACCAAGAGTGACATGCATGGCCTTTCTCACAGGGACCAAAACAGACACTTAATAAGATTAAGAGCCCGTTTCTGATTAAAAACAAAATAACTAAGATAAAGTAGCTCACTCACATTATAAAGATAATACCTGAAATTAGTTTCCAATCTTGAATTTGACCTTGAAGCCCCAAATGCAATTAACATCAGTAACAGATAATGACATCAATAAATTCTGATCAACAAAAACAAAACACAAAGGCAGAAATCAAGGGTACCAAAGTCATTATGAATGCAGATCATACACAGTACCACAGAAGCTTATGAAGGCTATACTAAAACCTTAATCCATGTGTCATTCTCAACAAAAATTAGATATATGTAAACAACTCCTGTCAGGCCTTCATTCTGGGGAAGATGGAAAAAGCATTCCCCTGTTCCTTCCCAACATCACAAAACACCCCAGTCATTCCCTGCGGAATAGCCAGGAATGGAAGATAGAGGGAATACAGCAGGGATCCAGAACCAAGAAACAAGAAGCACAATGGACAGGAGTCCTCTGGGCTTTCTGCTCGCATCATGCACACTAGACCCAGGGCTAGAGAAGTAGGCAACTTCAAATGCTGAAGAGCACAAATCAAGAAGGTCCAACTAAAGCTCTCTCCAGTACAAAGACCCAGAACAGAAAGCCTCCAAGAGGAAGCTTCTAGATAGCTACCACTCTACTCCAGGCCAAATGTCTGAGAACCACACCAGTGAAGGCCATACAGGAAGGCCACTCTTTGACACCAGTCAGTGTTGGAGCAGGCCACAAAGAGAGTGGACCTGTACCCAACCCCAGTCTCTGGGGACCCTGAGGACTACTGGGCTCTGCTTCCCCATCTCAGTGCTCTCAATGAGGTCCATAAAGGCTGGAACTCACTGCTTCTCAGCAGTAAGGGAGCCCCCTCCCCTCACAAGGGCCAGTGTAAGCCTCATGTGGGGCGCAGGCCTCACCGCCACCTGGTACCCCAATCTTTGCCAGAGTGACATAGCAGAAAACCAGCTCAGATACAAGATCCAAGGAAGATACAGCACAGAGTGAAAGAGTGACAGCCCCAGCATCTGCAGCCTGTATGAATCCATTTTATGACATGTTTTAAATTAGCAATTCATAGATCAGGGTCATTCCTGAGCCCAGGCTCAGGTGGTTGGAGGACGGTGGGGAGGCTCTGGGAGGACAAGCGGGGATCGAGGGAGATCCCCATGCTTCATAGACATAGGGTGCACTGTCTTCCCTGCGGCATCTCCTGGTGTTGGTACCATACACCACTCAGCGTGGTTTACACAGGCAAGTGGGGTTAAGAGTACAGGAGATCTCTGGATTATCTCTTACTACTATATTTAAATGTGCAAGTCACTTTTCCCCAAAATTTTAATTACAAAGCAAAAAGACCCACAGATTCTGAGTATGGTAAAAATGGTGTCTTTGTACTTTCTCAGTGGGAACAGAAAATGACACGGCCACTTTGCCCACAAACAGATCAACACAGTCTTTCATGGCAGCATCGTTTGTAAAGGGGAAGAGTAGGAACCGTGCAAATGGTTATTCAGTGTGAATGGGTGAACAAAGCATGTCTGTCAACACAATGGAATAGTACTAGGCAATAAAAAGGAATAAAGCTGATCAACATCACCATCTAGACATTCCTCAGAAATCTGTAGTAAGCAGAAGCACACAGTTACCAGACCCAGCAGTGTCATCTAGCTTCTGGTGGATGGCATGTCCAGAATAGTTAAAAACACAGAGACAGAAAGTAGATCAGTGAACAAGGACCCAGTTCTGGCTGAGGGATAGGTTGGAGAGCACAGGAGAATAGGTGTGACTGGAAACCAGCCTTCTTTTGAAGGCAATGAAGTATTCTAAAATTGGATTACCATATAAGAATTCTGCAAAGTGATATTAAGATTATTTAATACACAAATAAGATTGAAATATAAAGGCATGTTTAATAAACTTAAGATTATCTATTAAATGAATATGGGATTGAGATTATTGTAGAATTATTCTACAATAAAATATATTACTATTAAAAGAGCCTTTTGATTGTTTTGCTCTTTCAATTGTACGTCATGGGATGCCATCCATCAATGAAGCTACTTCACATATGAAGTACAAGGGTTAGGCACAGTGGTACATGCCTTTAGTCCCTGCTACTCCTGAGGAAGACATCAGGAGGGCCAAGGTTTAAAGCCATTCTGGAAAAAGAAGTTAGCAAGTCTCATCTCAACCAATAAGCTGTAGGTAGTGGTATGTGCCTAAAATCCCAACTAATGACAAGACACAGGAAGATCAGGATCCAAAGCAGCCCTGAGCAAAAAAGGACCGTGAGATCCTAACTGAAACGTGACTAAAGCAAAAAAGGGCTGGGCATGTGGCTCAAGTGGTAGAGGGCCTGCCTAACAAGCACTGAGTTCAAATCCTAGTGCCACCAAAATAAAGTATCAATAGCACGAGCAGTAGTTTGGAAAGCTGCTGCCTAAACGGGAGACAGCCTGTATAAAACTTCACCCAGTATTACTGAAGGGACCATTTCCTGTCTCTGGGTGCGTGTGCTCACACGGGGCCCTCGGCGGCGTTCCACTTACCTTGTTAGGGCAGCAGACTGAGTGTGCACCTTAAATAGCTACATGTTATTTTGGGAATTCTGATTTCGTAGTCACAGCTGAGGGACCTGAGACCAGCCTCACACTCAGAAAGGGATGCTGGGCTTGGGGTGCCCTGCGGGATGGGCTGCAGGGGTGGTAGGGGAGGAAGCCCAGGTGCTGAGGGTGATCTTCAGATCATTTGAGAGACCTCCAGGGCTGGGCCTAGTGAGACCCCTGCTGGTCCTCATGGAGCAGCTGTCCTAGCCCCACTCTCTCCATGCAGCAGGGGTAGAACTCAGGCCATCCTTGCCCCCAAATAGTCCCTATGACCCCACAATCTGCTACCTGAATGCCACCTAGAGTGCCCACTTCCCTGCCTCTACCTGAAAACCTCCTACGTAGCCCTCAAAGCCCCAATCCTACTCCTCCACGCAGCCTACTCCACAGGGGCAGAGGCTGCTGCACCTGTGTACCAGGTGTTCTCTGGAAGACTGTGCATCACACCCAGGCTGTGTCAGACATCCTTTCTGGGGTTCACCCACACCTGGGGTTTCCACAGACTGGGGAAATGGCCCCAGCCTCAGGATCTCATTTATGCTGGGGCGGGTGGGGGATGGGGGGTGGGCAAGAAACTGAGGAACACACTGAGCTGGCTCCTGCCAGATAAGGTGCATCCTCCCATGTGACTCCAGGCTCCCTCCTCCCCAGGGGCTGCTGGGAAGTGGTGTTGGAGGCAGGGACCAAATGCAGAGAAGATGACTCTTGGACCAGCCCTTCGCCCAAAGAACCCTATCTCACCTCACCACAGGTGCAAAAGGTAGGCCTTTCTTCCCTCTCCTGCCCTCAGGTGCCAGCTTCTTGGTCTTCTGTCCAGCCATGCTGCAGGGAGTCCCTGAGCCAAATGTCCAT